CCCGCTCCCGCTCTTCAGGGTTCCTGCTGCCTATCCAAGGTGCGTGCCCTCTGGCCCCCGTCTTCTCCCCTAGTACCAGGCTGTCTGGAGCACCCTCTGCCTGACTCACCCTGCCACCAAACCTTGTTCTCATGGCTGTCCCAGGCATTCATGTGCTCAGCAGACATGACTGGGCACCTTCTCCGTGGGAGAGCCCACTCTAAGCGCTGGGGGTGCAGCATGGAACACAACAAAGTACCCGGCCTCAGGGTGCCGGTGACCATCTCACCTCCTCCTCCTTTCCCTCCCCAGCTCCAGCCATACTGGCCTCCCTGCTGCTCCTGTTGCAAATTAAACATGGCTTGCTCTCTCACTTCACTCAGGTCTCTGCTCAAATGACACCTCTTCTGATGGACTTTCTCTGACTGTGCTTTCTTAAATAGCCCCTCACACAAGGAAATTTTGGGGTCAGTGGATGTATTCATTATCTTGATCATGGTAATGTTTTCATGAGCATATATGCAACAGAACTTATTGAGCCATATATTTACACACACATGGTTTGTTTTATGTCGATTTTATCTCAAGAAAGCTGTTAAAAAAAATAAAACAGCTCTTCACCATCATGCTTTAGCTGTTTATCTTTCCTTCTTGATCTCCATGGCATTTATCACAGAATATATCACGTTTTATTACTTATTCAAGGTCCATCTCCTCTGTTAGGATGCAAACCCACCTGGCCAACCACATCTTGACAATATCCTCCACCCCCCGATCAACTGTCCTTTGTCCTGTTTCTGTGGCAAAGCTCTAACGCACGGCAACATACAGGTGCATCTTCCCACGCCTCTGTCTGGGCTGCTTACAGATGATGGGAACAAAACCCGCAAACTGGGTACACGGTCAGTCCACGTTCTCCTGATTCTGCTGGGCCCTCAGTGCAGCCCCATAATCCCATGTCCTCTACTTGGCCCCATCGTTCACCTTATCAGTCACTTCAGACCTGCTCCATGACCCTTCAACCTCTAATCCTCCTTTTCACCTGTCATCCCCCTGATCACACCTGACCCCACTGCACTGGGGTTTCTACATGGGCCTCCAATGAAGTTCTCTAGCCATGGTCACAAATGACTTTCTTCACTAAATCTAGCCGTCCTCTTCCTTAATTCCTCAGCAGCATCTGACACAAACCCACCCTTCTTGAAGCCACATACTCTTCTGGATTTCTCCCTATGGCCTGGCCTCTGTCTCATTTTCTGGCTCACCCTCCTTTCCCCAGCCCCCAAATTTGGTGATCCCTGCAGATTGCCTACTGTCATTATTCTGGGGCAGGGGACTGGGACTGCTGGTGAGGTGGTGGGAGTGTTAAGGACAGCCTTGTACTCCTATTTCAGGAGTTTTTACCCATTTTGTGGCATGGACTCATCAGGCATCTGGTGAAGTCTATAGGCTTTTCCCAAAATGATGTTTTTAGATGTACAAAATACACAGGAGGGTCTTCCCTGGTGGTCCAGTGGTAAAGAATCTGCCTTCCAATGCAGGGGATGTGGGTTCAATCCCTGGTCAGGGAACTAAGATCCCACATGCCGTGGGGCAACTAAGCCCACATGCAGCAACTAAAGAGCCCATGTGTCACAAACTACAGAGCCCACGCGCTCTGGAGGCCACGCCACAACTAGAGAAGAGAAAACCCGCACGCCACAACTAGAGAGAAGCCCGCGCACTGCAAGAAGCGCTGCAACGAAAGATCCCACATGCCGCAACGAGGACCTGACTCAGCCAAATAAATAAATAAATACTTTTAAAAATACATAGGAAAAACTCCATAGTAAAAGAAACTAATTAAAAGTTATCAAAATAGGGAGTTCCCTGGTGGCCTAGTGGTTAGGATTCTGGGCTTTCACTGCCATGGCCCTGGGTTCAATCCCTGGTCAGGGAACGTAGATCCTGCAAGCCGCGTCGAGTGGCCAAAAAAAAAAAAAAAGCTATCAAAGAATTCAAAACAAATTGGTGATGTGACATATGTTTCAAGTCAAATAATGACAGTAATTTAGAAATGAGCATAAACAATACGTAAACAATGCCAACAGCTGTAATGTGATATGAAAATATCTGATTTCTATTAGTGACAAAGTCAGAGGTGCTGCTAATCATACTGGGGTTTGTTGCCAACACTCATAATTGAAGAAAATACTAAATTTCAGTTTGAAGTTAGCCAAAATTGAGAGGTAATATCTTTCCTAACTTCATGGGTCCCTGACTTCTACCCATAGAAGTCTCCTACCATCTCTGCATTGTTTCTGACTTCTACCGTCTCTGTATTATTTACTTTTTTACCATAAGCACGTGTTCCTTGTCCAATTTCTTAAAATACTGGCTTTTCTCTAGGTTCTGTCCTAGGTCCTCTCTTCCCAACTAATATTCTGGCTGAGACAGGTTACACATTTCAGGGTTCAATGACCATCTTTGTGCTGATGACTCCCAAATTTATAACTGCCATTGTAGATTCTCTTCTGAGCTCCAGACACTTAAATCTAGACTGTCTCCTAGCCAGCTGCACCTGGCAGCTCAGACGCCTCCCTCAGCGCGTATCAAAGTAACTGGTTCTCTTCCAGCTGAAACCTGTCCCACCCCAGTGAGCACCACCACCTGGGAACCAAGCCCAGACCCCTCCCTCTCCTTTTTCCCTCATGCATTTAGTCCCTGAGCCTTGCTGACTTCCCCCACTTCTATCTCCAGTCTCTCCACCCTATCTCGTCACTACCATCTCCTGGGGGGCCTGCTGCCCCAGGCTGGGCTCTCTGTACCCCTCTTGCTCCCTCCACAAGTCAGCTGAAAGGCTCTTCCTAGCTTCCCAGCACCCTCTTCTTAAAGTCCAAACTCCTCTATGTGGCTCTCAAGACCCAGCAAGCTTTGGTCTATGCTTACCTGTCGGGCTTCATCTTTCACTAGCCTGCAGTTTCTACTCTTCCAGGTGATGAAATGCATTCATTCCTAGGGAGCCATGCTCCCTCTCACCTGAAGCCTTTGAATGCTGTTCCCTGTCTGAAGATACAGCTTCCCACCAGCCCCGCTCCATGCCTCCTAACCCCTGGTACGCAAACTGCACTGCACCCAGCTAGCTTTCTTCGCTGCTCCCAGGCCCTCATATGATGTCATCCTTGGGTCGCCTCCCTGACACTATGCACAAGGTGAGTTTGGCCCCTTCCCCTCAAGTCTTAACTATGACTGCCCATTCAAACTTCCAACTTGGCCCTTCCCTCCTGCAGCCAAAGTCTCGGTGCCTGGCACAGTGCATGGTATACAGCAGGCACTCACAACCTGTTGAAGGAATGAATGGATGTATGAGCTGGGAAATCCCAGCCCCAAATCTACTCCTTTCTGGCTCTGGGAAGCGCGAAGCGCCTTCCAAACAGTGCAGAAGACTGAGCTTAATTGTAAGCAAGTTTTTCTCCAAGTCCCACAGGAGCGCTGGGAAGTGGGCACCTTTGGCAGGGCCTCTTGGGGCAGAGGGAGGCCTGGAGGGACAAGCCCCAGCTCGTGACCCGGGGGTGCGCGGGCCCTTCCTTTTCGTCAAGGCACTCCTAGCCTGCCGGCCCGCCCTGCCCTACCCATCCTGCAGGGAGGAGGGTGAAGGGAGGCTTTTTTCTACCAGAGCCTCGGCCCTCACGACTGCACCCAAGTGTCTGCTGAGGGGCCCGGCGGACTTCCCATCTCCTCGCACCCGGCGCCCCACCCTTCCCGCAGCCGCGGCGGTGAGATTTGGGGTCTCGTACTCTGCCCGCCCCCAGCACCCACTGCCTCACATCACCCCTCATCCCTCACCATCGCGCCAGGAAGCCCGCGCCCAAGACTTCCACTTTCCGGTCGCGCCGGGTCAGGTGATGCGGCGGTCACGTGACGCGGGGGCGGGGGCGGGGGGCGGGGGGCGGCCCTCGGATCGGGGCGGGCGCAAGGCGGCCAGCTCCGAGCTGTTGGGCCGGAAAACCGGGTCCCTTTCTCAGTCCTCAGAACCTTTCCCTGGAAAGGGCAAGCGCCAACCCCCAGGTTAACTGAGAACAGAACCAAAGCAGTAAGAAGAGGGAGTAGAAACCGTTTAATTTGTTCGCCTTAAGGGAGCGGGAACCTTCCGTTCTGCCGGGGTATTCAGGTCGTCTCCATGTTTTGCGTCAGTAAGCAATGCCATTACATACAGCTGTGGGCTGGGGCAAAAGACGTATTTTTAAAATTTATTGGAATAGAATGCACATACAGGAAATTGTACGTAGTGTGAACACAGAGCTTAATGAATTTTCTTATTTTAATTAATTTATTGGCTGCGTTGGGTCTTCCGTTGCTGTGCGCGGGCGTTCTCTAGTTGCGGCGAGTAGGGTCTACTCTTTGTTGTGGTGCGCGGGCTTCTCATTGCGGTGGCTTCTCTTGCTCCAGAGCACAGGCTCTAGGCATGCGGGCTTCAGTAGTTGTGCCTCGTGGGCTCAGTAGTTGTGGCTTGCGGGCTCTAGAGCGCAGGCTCAGTAGTGTGGCGCACGGGCAGAGCTGCTCCGCGGCATGTGGGATCTTCCGGACCAGGGATGGAACCCGTGTCCCCGGCATTGGTAGGCGAATTCTTAACCACTGCACCACCAAGGAAGCCCCTTAATGAATTTTCATAAACCATACACCCCATGTAACCAGCACCCAAATAAGGAAACATTACCAGCACCCCAGATATCTCCTTCAAGTGCCTAGGTATTTTATTTCATTTTGATGAATCCCTTAAGGTGCCTAGCAAAAAGGTCTGTAACAGTTAACACCCTCAGGAGAACTGTTTTGCAGTTTCACCAACATCAGATGTTTATCTTAATTTTTCCCAACCTAATGGGAGAAAAATAGGTTGCTTTAAATTGCATTAGTCTGCTTACGTGTGAGTTTGAGCTAATGGCTAATCTAGGAAAACTAAGTTTCCCATGTTCACTTGAAGAGGGAAAAACAAAAAAACCAAAATAGTAACAACAAAAATACACTAGGGAATAGACTGATAAGCAAAGAAGAAATTGAACAGTTTGAGATCTGTCTTCAATTCCATGCCCCTCACCCATACACTAGGCCCCGCTTGTTTTATTGTTGCAGGCTTTCAAAGTACAGATAGAGCCTATGGCAATTAAACTGCTCCCTAAATAGAAAGAGATGGAAAGCTAATTCCTGCTAAAATTGATCTCACTTATAAAGAGCTTTCTAAAAATCATAAACATCAACACGTTGAAGTCAAGAGTGTTACAATACACCATATCAATAAAAATTTTTATTAAGAGTATAAGAATAGTTCCATTTGTATTTCATCATCTCAGTAGGTTAAAGAAAAGAACTGATACATTTGGGAAACCATTTTTTTTATTAAAAAGAAAAAAAATTAGTAATAGATGAAAACTGCCTTAAGTTGATAGAGTGTTTGAAAAACAAAACAGCAAACATCAAAAAGACAAATTATTTAAATTTGGAAATAAGGCAAAAAGGTGGGTGGCATGTCCTTTTAATGCCATACTGGAGCATTGTCTCACAGATTTGTTTCACAAATAAAGATGATTTGCCTATTTAGGGCAGTGGTTCTCGGACTTTACAGTGTATCAGGATCATCTGCTGGGCTTGTTAAAACAGTGTTGGGCCCCACCCCCAGAGTTTTTAATTAAATAGGTCTCGGGTGGGACTTGAAAATCTGCTTTTCCAACAAGTTCCCAGGTGTGCTGAGATTTCCAGTTTGGGGACTACACTTTGAAAACCACTCATGTAGGAAAATGTACCTGAGAAATTATGTTAACTGACAGATTTCTGTCCAATAGAAAAGTTAACCCCAAAGATTACAGTTTTATTGCCCCATGGGAAATTAGCAGGTTTTGTCTCTAACTTAGCACACACTTCAAAATGCCTTTGCCAGTGCACTAGAAATACTTCTCAGAATGTTCTTCGAGTTAGCTTTACCATTACTGTTCCCTCATTAATTGAATAAAATATTTGACATGCATTCCTTCACTTGTATGAAAGTCATGTGTTTCATTTTTGCAAATTAAACTTTGATAGAGTATACTTGTGTACTAGCCCTGGACAGGAGTATACAGATACTAGTGTATATATATATTTTTAAATATTTTTATTTATTTAGCTGCACAAGGTCTTAGTTGCGGCACAATGGGATCTTCCTTGCCATGTGCGGGATCTTTAGTTGCAGCATATGGAATCTAGTTCCCTGACCGGGGACTGAACCCGGGCCCCCTGCATTAGGAAGTCTTAGCCACTGGACCACCAGGGAAGTCCCACTAGTGTATATTTTAATACTAGACGTATTCCCGTTAAAGTCAGAATCAGTAACGCATTCTCATTGTGACCCAACATTGTCCTAGAGGTGTTAAGGCCAGGGGTTCTCAACTGGGGGTGATTTTGTATTCCAGAGGGATATTTGGCAATGTCTAGAGATACTCTTAGTTGTCACAACTAGGGAGTGTTGCTGACGTCCAGAGGGCAGAGGGCAGAAACCAGGGATACTGCTAAACATCCTACAAGGTGTAGGACGGTCCCCAGTATCAAAGAATTAAAAGGTGGTCAGTGGCTAGTGGAATGTGCTGGATCACTGTATGTAGACCAGGCTCTCCAGGCCCACCTAGTGCAGAGGAGTCAGAGGTCCACAGGTGAGAACCTGCTCGTCCCAGCCCCACACACCACACAGGTGGAGAGAGGAAGGCTTCGTAAGGAGGTGGAGGCAAGCAGGGGAGCCCAGGCCTCATCTGTTTGACCTCCTGCCTGCCTGAGAGAAAGCCCCAGGTCAACGCTGGGAGGGTCAGCCCAAGTTACTGAGCACATAAGGGGAGAGCCCTGACCAGAGCCCTGGGACCCTGGGCTAGTTGAAGACCCTATCCTTTTGCCCCACAGATCATTGTGGGAGTCCGGTCCAGCCTCTGGACAGGATGTGATTTTTTGGCTTCTAATGCCCAGGCCCTCACCTTTCTCTCTTGCCTGCCACACTCGTGCAGCCCCACAGCAGAGGTGAGTGTCTCCTTGAGGGGGTCTGAGGGGCTGGGGGCACAGGCCCATGGTCCAGGGTCAGTTCCTCAGGCTGGACCAGGGGGCCAGTCCCAGGCAAGTCCCTGTGCATCTTCACCCTCAGCCAGGACTTCCCACACCGCGCAGTACAGCCACAGCTGCGGGCAAGGGGGGACCCAAGGACTGACCTCCATGAGACTGGCAACCTCCCAGTGGCCCTGCAGCAGCTCTGCCCCCCGCCAGACCCCACCTCAAGCCCCGTGTCCAACCGGTCTGCCTCCCCAGGCTTCAGAAAACATTGGGCTTTGGGGACTTCCCTGGTGGCGCAGTGGTTAAGAATCTGCCTGCCAGTGCAGGGAACACAGGTTCGAGCCCTGGTCCGAGAAGATCCCACGTGCTGCGGAGCAAATAAGCCCATGTGCCACAACTACTGAGCCCACGGGCCACAACTACTGAAGCCCACGCGCCTGGAGCCCATGCTCTGCAACAAGAGAAGCCACCCAATGAGAAACCCGTGCACCGCAACAAAGAGTAGCCTCCGCTCACCACAACTAGAGAAAGCCTGCACGCAGCAACGAAGACCTGACGCAGCCAAAAATAAATAAATAATTTTTAAAAAGCCAACAAACATTGGGCTTTGTACCCGCTACTCCTCACACTAGGTTTCCTGTCCAGGAGGCTGCTGAAAGGGGAACTGGTCGCACCTGTTGGAGAAAGGTCTTAGGAAATCACCTTCTTTGGGATTAGTTCCACCTTCATTCACTCATTTACCAAATACTCACTGTCTCTTTCTCTATGTCAGGCTCTGGGGTGATAGGTCAAGCAGGGTGCCCACCCTGAGGAGTTCCCCCAACTCTGTTGGTTGTTTTATTTTTTTTAATATTTATTTATTTGACTGTGCCGGGTCTTAGTTGTGGCACACGGGACTTTTTGTTGCAGCATGTGGGATCTGGTCACCTGACCAGGGAATGAATCCAGGCCCCCCGCATTGGGAGCGTGGAGACTTAACCACTGGACCACCAGGGAAGTCCCTTCCCTCTCTGTTTAGAGACAGACAGACAGGCAGACTCATATGTCTTCTGCTTGTATGGGCACCCAGGGTTGAGAAGGGGAAGGCCTCATTCACAGGAGGTGATGGTAGGTGTGAATGTGGAGGGGGTGTGGGTGACCATGGGGCAAGGGTGTCTAGGCAGAGCCCAGCTTTTGAAACTGGGGTGGGGACAGGCCCTGCTCTATCTGGAAGGCTTCCTGACCCTGCCAACTGCAGGCCCTGTGGCTGGCTCACAGGTAATGGCTTCATGTTGACTTTTCAAAATGATAGTTGGTACATTTGAATTATATAACTAAACATTATTGCAATAAAAATCACAAAATACAGAGAAGTTAAAGAAACAAACAAAAATCAGTAAACCCCTTCTCTCCCCAAATAACTACTCTAACAGCCCTTTCTGACTTTTTTTCCATGCATACACAACTCTGACCCAATAAGAAATGTACATTTGGTCTTCACCGTGGGTTCCTGACACAGAGCTCCTAAATCCCTTGGAGTTTCCTGGGCAATAGGAGCCTCTTTTGTTCTAAAGAGGTGACTCTGGGTGGGCTCCTGGGTAGCTCCAGGATGCAGGCTGGTCGCCAGGAAGACCAAGCCATGATTAGAAGCTTGGAGAGGGGCTGCAGAGTGAATTAACTGTTGATTCTGCCTATATGATGAAGCCTCTATAATGATCTGTGAACCACACCCCAACTCCACGGAGACAGAAGCTCCTGTGCTCGGGACACCCCCCCCCC